TTATTTAGAGATAGAGTCTTGCTCTGTCACCCAGGTTGGAGCACAGTGGCATGATCTTGGCTCACTGCAACCTCTGCCTCATGAGTTCAAGTGATTCTCCTGCCTCAGCCTCCCGAGTAGCTGGGATTACAGGCATGCCCCACCACACCCGGCTAATTTTTGTATTTTTAGTAGAGATGAGGTTTCACCATGTTGGCCAGGCTGTTCTAGACCTCCTGACCTGAGGTGATCTGCCCGCCTTGGCCTCCCAAAATGTTGGGATTACAGGCTTGAGCCACTGTGCCTGGCTAAAAAAAATTCTTAATGCTATTTATGATTTATAATCATAAATGTTTTTAAACTATAAAATCAAATTGTCCGCCTTATTACCTTTGGTGCTTGTCTTAGTCCATTCAGACTGGTATAATAAAATAGCATAAACTGGGTAGCTTATAAACAACAGAAATTTATTTCTCACAGTTCTGTAGGCTGAGAAGTCCAAGATCAAGGCAGCAGCAGTTTGGCGTCTATTGAGGACCCACTTTCTCTTCATAGATGGTGCCTTCTAACTGTGTCCTCACATGGCAGAAGGGGCAAGTCAGCTCTCTGAGGCCTCTTTTATAAAGGAATTAATCTCATTTAGGAACACTCCACCCTCATGGACATAATCATTTCCCAAAGCCCCACCTACTAATACCATCATCTTGGGGGTTATGATTTCAACATATGATTTTTGTTGGGGACACAAACATTCAGACCATAGCAAAGATGCTACTAAGGTTTAAATCATAGGGATTCCAGCAGATTGCTTGGTGTCCTTCCTTTCTTTCTTTCTTTCTTTCTTTCTTTCTTTCTTTCTTTCTTTCTTTCTTTCTTTCTTTCTTTCTTTCTTTCTTTCTTTCTTTCCTTTCTTTCTTTCCTTTCTTTCTTTCCTTTCTTCTTTCTTTCTTTCTTGATGGAGTCTCACTCTGTCACCCAGGCTGGAGTGCAGTGGTGCAATCTCGGCTCACTGCAATCTCCACCTCCTGAGTTCAAACCATTCTTGTGTCTCAGACTGACTCCCAAGTAGCTGGGATTACAGGTGTCCACCACCACTCCTAGCTAATTTTTGTATTTTTAGTAGAGATGGGGTTTCACCATGTTGGCCAGGCTGTCTCCAATTCCCGGCCTCAGGTGATCTGCCCGCCTCGGCCTCCCAAAGTGCTGGGATTACAGGTGTGAGTCACTGTGCCTGGTCTCTAAGTTTAATTACATATAATTAAGATATGAAAAATTATATATAATGGGACACCAGTGGCTAGTGTGAAAGGGGAATGGAGGTAGGGAAGGAGGACTCTGCTTGTGTTTTCTTCATTCTAATGTTAAAATCATGGTTAATGCAGTAATTTCCTTACAATATTTTCCACTCTAGAAACGTGCTTATAAGAGCTATGTTCGAGCCCTCCCTCTGCTGAAGAAAATGGGGATCAATTCCATTCTCCTCCGAAAAAGCATTGGTGCCCTTGAGGTGGCCTGTGGCATCGTCATGACCCTTGTGCCCGGGCGTCCCAAAGATGTGGCCAACTTCTTCCTACTCTTGCTGGTGTTGGCTGTGCTCTTCTTCCACCAGCTGGTCGGTGATCCTCTCAAACGCTACGCCCATGCTCTGGTGTTTGGAATCCTGCTCACCTGCCGCCTGCTGATTGCCCGCAAGCCTGAAGACCGGTCTTCTGAGAAGAAGCCTTTGCCAGGGAATGCTGAGGAGCAACCCTCCTTATATGAGAAGGCCCCTCAGGGCAAAGTGAAGGTGTCATAGGAAAGTGGAAGTACAAAGAGTGGACCTTCCAGGCAGTTGTGTCCATGACACCAGGAAGATGTCAGTGTGTGTTTTTCATTTGATTTATTTATCTTGGGGAAAGGGAAAAATGTAATCTGCAAGTTAATGACCCTATTGGCTTGTGTACATCTATATGCTAAAATGACTTCCCCACATTGACATTTGTGCACCACCTTTAATCACTCTGGGGCAACTCTCACATCTTGCTGCATGTACATGTATATGGCTACTATTGAAGTGTAATTGTGAGATGGACTCCAACAAGCATTGTGTGTGGGAAAATGTATTTAACTACTGTGCGTGTGTGTGTGTGTGTGTGTGTGCGCGCGCCCATGCATACACACACGAGCAGAGAAATCTCTGATCTTGAACTAATCCTGCACAGGCATCCTTCCCTTTATAGATTGATTCCAGCAAAGGCAGAATAAAACAAATTTCCTATAAAGAGAATTCTGATATAAAACAAGTCATGTAGTCCCATGGCCGGGAATCTCTCCACAGATGCTGAAAACTTAAACTTACTACTTTAGGAAAAAAAAAAAATTCAATTTCGGACACTGAGTTATATATGAAATTAATTAGGCTCTATTCCAACAGTTGTTTAAATTTTAAATAGTCCATATTGAGTTTAATTAAAACAAGGGATGCATGCAGTCAAATTGATAATTTAATTCTTCAAGGGATAATATAGGAAGTTTCACCTTGCCTTTGTCCGAGCCCCACCTATTAAACCCCTTTACTTACAGTTTGAAACTGAAGCAGTAAACTTGTTTCCAGATATCTTTTTCAGATTGTCTTAAGCCCAAAGTTGCCTCACTTCCACTATTCTCAGCAGCCAACCACGATTTGGCAGCTGCTCCACTGTTAGGGTTGAGGGAACAGGGATCAGTCCTATTAGAAGTCTGTGAGTCTCAAACTCTACCTGTTCTCTGCAATCATCCAAAATTTGAAAAGGAAGTTATATCCAGTGTTTCATTGCCAAACAGATTCACTACTCTTACTGATTCTTCACTGAGCTTTGCTAGTATAAGCAGAGTTCCAAGTCCCCCCTAGGGGTTGTCTCTACACTTCTTTATCATTCCAGTGGGTGGAGTTTAGCTGAGGGAAGGACATTTCATAAGGGTTAGTTGGACTGAGCAGTATGGGCATTTGCTTTTTTCATTACGTACTGTTGTTTTTCCTTGTTAGATGTGCTTTGGTGGTTTTAATATTGTGCCAGGGATGGGGAAATGGGTGGGGGGTGTGTGTGTGGGAAGAGTACTTATTATTGTGTTTTCTTCAGTGTAATTGTTCTTGGTAATTGATACCTCTCTGTTTTATTTCTCTCATTCTTTCAAAATAAAACTTTTTGAAATTTGGAGGAAACTGTCTGGACAAATACTGAAAATCTGGAAAGTAAGGATCATATCAAAGGATTTAGCCTCTCTTTTTCTGAGTCTGGATGAAGGAGGAGAGGAAAGAGAAGAGGGAGTTTAATCACTTAATATGCTAATGAGGTTGCCAAGTTTCCAATTTCTTTTTTTTCTTTTTCTTATTTTTTTTGAGACATGGTCTTGCTCTGTTGCCCAGGCTGTAGTGCAGTGGTGTGATCACAGTTCACTGCAGCCTCAATTTACCAGGTTCAAGTGATCCTTCCACCTCAGCCTCCCGAATAGCTGGGGCTACAGGCATACGCCACCATGCCTGGCTAATTTTTTTTTGTAGAGACGGGATTTTGCCATGGTGCCCAGTCTGACCTCGGACCCCTGGGCTCAAGCAGTCTGCTTGGCCCGGTCTTCCAAAGTGCTGGGATTACAGGTTTGAGCCACCTCGCCTGGCCCAACTTTCCAATTTTATTTACGTTTCCCCACACTTTTGTGATGTTAGCACACAAGACAGAAAGCCACGTAATTAGGATCTCGATACAATTTCCAGGTTTGGGAGTTTTGCTTAATTAGGTAATGCCAAGAGAAGTTCGAAAAATGATTTTGGAGAAAATTGAAGGTGTATCAAAGGTGAATCACTATCTTTCACTATATATATACACACACACACATATACACATATCTATATACACACACATATATACATATATATACACATATCTATATATACACAGACATGTACACATATATCTCCACAAAGTGGTACAAGTTGCACTGCCACGGACTTTTCACATTAGGCAAGATATTTCACCACTCAGGGCTCCAGTTTCACCATCTACAAAAAGAAAGTTGTCGAAACCTTAAATTTCCTTCCCATTTGCATTTCTTTGAGACTATGAAACATGATTAAAAACATGAAAAATTATTCAAGAAATTTTCAATTTTATTAAAGAACAGCATCTATCAGAAAAAATAGAAGAGCCTCAGTTGTCATGCATGATTAAGAGTTGGTGAAACTATTCTGAAAACCATATATGAGGTGGTAAAGTTATTTTTGCTGTATCCTTTCCCAAATACATAAACTTTGATTATTCATCTCTAAGATTGCAATCGCCCCCGCCAAGTTTGCCTAAAGTTTATAGGTATGTTTTGGTCTCAACAACTCAGTGAGAGTCATTAAATTTGTCTTTTCTCTCTTATTCCTACTCTAGTAAGAGATTAGATTAGGGACTAAGCTGAGAGCTTAGACTAAACCCTTGTTGCTGTTTTAAAGCCAGTTTCTTTAAGGTCAATTAACTCCTCATTGTTAGGAATAGTTACATGTTGACAGCCGGTTTCTAGAAAACCTTGGAGGATATCCATACCCATTCTCGGTAAAAGGAGGGCAGATCCAGCCTTTCTTTCCTCCCACGCCCTAGGTTTACATGGGGAAAAGCTACAGGCCCTTTAACTTAAGTCTTGGCCAGGGAGAAGCCACCTTTATTGTGATATTTACGGTTTCACATTTCCTACAAAGTCCCGACATCTTGGGTCAACCTAGGCAAAATAATCACTATAATTGATCATGTTAAATTCAAGAACCCAGACACGAATTGTCCCGCTATACGCAAAATTACGAACATGAATATTCTTAGCTCAGTGGGAACGCCAGCCAATCAGCTGACACCAGCAGCAACGGCCCACTCGCTGCGCTCCCTACAGGCTCAGGTGGGTGGGGCAAGCCGCTCTCCGTAATTGGGTCTACGTCAGGGTCGTCGCGCGCGCCACCTCCCGCCACCGAGCCACCCGCCACCTCTAGCCAATCAGGCTTCAGCTGAGTGCGTTACTCCGCCCAGCCGCCGCCTGGGTCTGCGCGGAAGCGCATGCGTGGGGTGGAGTCAGCTTCTTTGAATTCCGGAGGCGGCATTCGGTCGTCAGAGGCCTGTGCGGGTACAGGTAGAGTGTCAGGTGAGGAGGTACTGTTAAGCACCGCGCGAAATGGGAGCGAAGAGAATTTTTTAACTTTTGAGGGTGGGACTATCCTGCAAGGTGTGACTGCGGTCGGGTTTTCCGTAGCCATTTTCCCTCCAGGGATCCTTGGGAAGCCCTGGGATGGTTCAACTGGGTGGGGTCAGAAGCTGCTCCCTTGCCCTTCTTTCCTAGGAACCTGGGAAATAACTCGGAACCCGTACCTTCCCACTGGTTTGGACATATTCCTCTCCTGATCTGGCCTCATCTGTTCCAGGGAGGTGGGATTGAGTAAGTGTCATTCCGACCATTCCTTTCGTTTTTCCTATTTGCAGCCAGAAACTTAGAAGTCATTCTTGGTTCCTCTTCCCTTTTCCCTACATCCAATTCTTTTATCACGGCCTGCTCTATCTAACTCCAAAACATTGCACGAATCCAATCATTTTCCACCTCTACACCCTAGGCCTACAGTCATCCTTCTGGATTTCTGCAACAGCTTTTTATTTTGTTTCTTTTCTCTCCTTGACCTCTAACGTTTTCGTCTCTGCACTGCAACTAACATGATCTTCAAACACAAATCAGGTGGTATTGCTCCACTCTCTAACCTTTCCCCCTTCCCCAGTGTTTTCCCATGACACTTAAAATCCAAACTCCTTACTCTGGCCTGCAAATCCCAATATGATCTTAGTCACTGGCTACGTTCTGATTTCATCGCTCATTACCTTTTACCTCTTTCATTCCACTCCCTCTAGACTAATGTTACTACTCTTTCTTTTTTTTCTTTCTTTCCTTCTTTCTTTCTGTCTCTGTCTCTCCCTCCCTTCCTTTCTTCCTTTCCATTCCATTCCTTTCCTTTCTTTCCTTTTTTTCTTCTTTCTTTTGACAGAGTTGGGCCAGGCGTGGTGGCTCACGCGTGTAATCCCAGCACTTTGGGAGGCCGAGGCGGGTGTGGATCACTTGAGGTCAAGAGTTCGAGGCCAGCCTGGCTAACGTGGTGAAACCCAGTCTCTACTAAAATACAACAATTAATCAGGTGTGGTGGTGTGTGCCTGTAATTCCAGCTACTCGGGAGGCTGAGACAGGAGAATTGCTTGAACCCGGGAGGTGGAGGTTGTGGTGAGCCAAGATAGAGATCATTCCACTGCATTCCTGCCTGGGTGACAGAGTGAGACTGTCTCAAAAAAAAGAAACAATGTCTCACTATGTTGCCCTCAGCTTCCCAAAGTGCTGGGATTATAGGTGTGACCCACCTTGCCCTGCCAAGCTGCTGTTTCTTTGACACATAAAGCTCTTTTTGCTTTAAAGTCTTAAAGGTCTTAGCATGTCTTCCCCTTTTCCATGAAATACTGTTTCACCAGATCTTCTCATGGCTGGTTCCTTCTTGGCATTCAAATCTCAGTTCAAAGGTCACCTCAGAGAGGTTTTCTTTGAACACTTATTACAAAGTTACAATGTAGCTTCCCATCCCCACTTCATTTCTGTCACATCACTGTGTATTATGTTCATTATTGCTTACTTTTCTTCCTTTTACTTTTTATTTTTTTCAGACAAAGTCTTGCTCTGTCAACCAGGCTGGAGTGCAGTGGCGCAATCACGGCTCTCTGCAGCCTCGACCTCCCGGGCTCAAGCGATTCTCCTGCCTCAGCCTCCTGAGTAGATAGGACTACAGGCGCGTGCCACTATGCCTAGCTAATTTTTTAAATCTTTAGTAGAGATGTCTCACTGTGTTGCCCAGACTGGCCTTGAACTCCTAGGCTGAAGGAATCTTCCGGCCTCGGCCTCCCGAAGTGCTGGTATTACAGGTGTGAACTACCATGCCCGGTCTTAGTTGTATACTTATTTATTGACTCTCACCTCGCCTTTCAGTGTAAGTGTCATGAGAGCAGGGACCTTGATTGTTTTATTATTTTATCCCTGGTAACTAGACTTGTGCTTGGCAGATAGATGACATTTAGTAATTATTTATTAAGGGAATGAATGGGAGTATTTGTCTCCTGAAAATGCTTAGTTTGGCCACCAGTTTGGCTTTTGAACTATGCAGCTTTGACTTAGCACTGACAAATTTAGGAGCATAAAGATTAAAAGCAAAATCAAGGAGAAGTGGGGGAAAATAGGAGTGGAGAAAGTAAAATTGAGTTATTGAGATGGATTAGTTTTTTTGTTTGTTTTGAGACAGGGTCTCGCTCTGTCACTCAGGCTGGAGTGCAGCAGTGCAGTCTCTGCTCACTGCAACCTTCACCTCCTGGGTTCAAGTGATTCTCCTGCCTCAGCCTCCTGAGTAGCTGGGATTACAGGTGTGTGCCACCATGCCCAACTAGTTTTTGTATTTTTAGCAGGGACAGGGTTTCCTCATATTGGCCAGGCTGATCTCAAACTCCTGTATGCCTGACCTCAAGTCAGGCCCGCCTCAGCCTCCCAGAGTGCTGGGATTACAGGTGTGAGCCACCACGCCCGGCCGAGATGGATTAGTTTTGGACCCATTTATATGACATAGCCATTCTAAGAGAGAACTTGCATATGTTGCCTGTACTCTTACTGTTTTTTTCCACTAGAAAGCTAGTTCAGCTGATGAATGTTCCTTGGCAGGTTGTTTCTATTTCTATTTAGGGCAAGGACTTTCTGAGAAAGTCAACCTCTAGATTTTGTTTCCTGAATTGTTGTCAACTTATTTATTGCATGCCTGTTGTATGCTAGCTATTGTATACTAAATACTGGAAACACACCCTCTCTCTGTGGATAAAAAAGGACTGTTTGGCTGATTAATGATAACACTTGTTTTCTGTGTAGAACATATGCAGTAATGTCACCTCAAAAGAGAGTTAAGAACGTCAAGGCACAAAACAGGACTTCACAAGGTAGTAATAGTTTTCAGACCACGCTTTCAGCCTGGAAAGTAAAACAGGGTCCAAGCAACTCAAAGAACATCTCAAAACATGGACAAAACAATCCAGTGGGAGATTATGAACATGCTGATGATCAAGCTGAAGATGCTTTGCAAATGGCAGTGGAATATTTTGAGAAAGGTAAAGGTGGATTGTTTTCCTTATGAAAGTCCTATTTCTGTAAAAATAGTCTAGTCTTTTTTTCTGAAGAGTTTTTAAAGGAAAGCATAATTTTGCTCATTCATGCTTTTGTTTATTTAATAGACATTGAGCAGTTACTACATATCAGTATGCTGGGCACTAGGGACACAACAACAAAACTTACTAGTAGAGTGGTTCCCAAACTGCTGCATATTGGGATCACTTGAGAATCTTTTTTTCTTTTCTTTCTTTTCCTCCCTCTCTACCCCTTTGGCTCTGAGAATCTTTAACAAACAAACTGACGTCAGGCATCCACTCTTAGACTTTCTGATTTTATTGGTATGGAATGTAACCTGGCATAGGGATTTGTTTTAAAGGCTTTGGGTGGTTCCAATGTATGGCAAAGTTTGGGAACCACTGTCCTAGTATTGAAACAGGTTGTAGTCTAAGTTCAATGCTTTTAGTTAGTTTAGAATAGAAATGTCAGGGCATAATCCAGCTTTCCTCACTGAAGGTGCTATCACTGTTAAATATTCTTTAGTTAAAAACATCTCTGAACGGTTTTTGTGAAGACACTTTTTACATAAACTCCTTTATTTATTTTTGGAGACAGGGTTTTGCTCTGTTGCCCAGGCTGGAGTGCAGTGGCATGGTCATTGTACGTTTGACCTTTCGGGCACAAGTGAGCCTCCCATCTCAGCCTCCTGAGGGGCTGGGACCACAGGTGCATGCCAGCATGCCCAGCTAGTTTTTAATTCTTTTGTAGAGATAGAGTCTTGTCATGTTGCCCAGGCTGGTCTCAAACTCCTGGCCTCAAGTGATCCTCTTGCTTTGGCCTCCCAAAATGCTGGAATTACAGATGTGGGTCACCACGCCTGGTCATTAAGCTATTCCTTTAAAGAGTTCCAAATTGTTATTATTGAGGCTGAAGACTGAAATAATTTTAAAGGTCTCACTATTTAATATTGTTTTTTTTTTTCAGGTCCCGTTAAAACTTCACAGAATAAAGATAAAACCTTGGAAAAACACTTGAAAACTGTGGAAAATGTGGCTTGGAAGAATGGGTTAGCTTCAGAAGAAATTGACGTTCTATTAAATATTGCACTCAGTGGCAAATTTGGTATGTTGAGGAGATGCTTTTTTTTGTTCTTTTAACTCACCTAGCACCTATATTTTTTTCTTTTAAAAATATGTGTATATACACATATATATACACACACACACACATATATGTAGATAGGTATACACACACATTTTTTATAATAGAGACAGTGTCTGACTATATTGCCCAGGCTGGTCTGGAACTCCTAGACTCAAGTGATCCTCCCGCCTTGGCCTCCCAAAGTGCTGGGATTACAGGCTTGAGCCACCGCACCTGGCTCGAGGGGGATGTTGTTTTGTTTTTTGTTTTGAGATGGAGTCTCGCTCTGTCACCCAGGCTGGAGTGCAGTGGCACGATCTCAGCTCGCTGCTACCTCTGTCTCCTGAGTTCAAGCAATTCTGCCTCAGCCTCCTGAGTTCCTGGGACTATAGGCACGTGCCACCTAACCTGGCTAATTTTTTGTATTTTTGAATTTTTTTTTGCTGTGTTAGCCAAGATGGTCTCCATCTCCTGACCTCGTGAGCCTCCTGCATTGGCCTCCCAAAGTGCTGGGATTACAGGTGTGAGCCACCGTGCCTGGCCAAGGGCATTTTTTGTTTTTTTTTTTTTGGGAGACTGGGTCTCACTCCATCGCCCGGGCTAGAGTGTAGTGGTGCAATCTCAGCTCACTACAACCTCCACCTCCCGGGTTCCACCTCTCTGCCTCAGCCTCCCGAGTAGCTGGGATTACATTGGCCTCCCAAAGTGCTGGGATTACAGGTGCCTTCCACCACACCTGGCTAATGTTTTTGTATTTTTAGTAGGGACGGAGTTTCACCATCTTGGGCAGACTGGTCTTGAACTCCTGACCTCGTGATCCACCTGCCTCGGCCTCCCAAAGTGCTGGGATTACAGGCGTGAGCCACTGTGCCCGGTCTTGGATGTTTTTGTCATCACTTTGCTATTAGTTTTTCCTTTTAGACTTTGTTTATTTATTTTTTTGAGATTGAGTTTTGCACTTGTTGCCCAGGCTGGAGTGCAATGGTGCGATCTTGGCTCACTGCAACCTCCACCTCCTGGGTTCAAGCAATTCTCCTGCCTCAGCCTCCCGAGTAGCTGGGATTACAGGCATGTGTCACCATGCCTGACTAATTTTGTATTTTTAGTAGAGATGAGGTTTCTCCATGTTGGTCAAGCTGGTCTCGAACTCCCGACCTCAGGTGATCCGCCCTCCTTGGCCTTCCAAAGCATTGGGATTACAGGCGTGACCCACTGTGCCCGACCTTCCTTTTAGACTTTGAATTAGATTGTTCATTGGAATTAGTTGCAGTTTTTTATGTTTACTGTTCTCTTCATAAGACCAATCTGTTAAGATTATACAATGGGCTTTTTTGTGTGTTTAGGCCAAAAGTTTCTGTGTGCATATGCTGAAAATGACCAGTTACCATATATCATTACAAATAAAATGCAAAATACATACTTTTGTCACCAAATATATGAGAACCATTTTTTAGTGTTTATCTTAAGCATACATAGTAATTTCAACAATGTTGCTGGAAGGCATCTTAAAAGATCACTTAGTCTACTTCATTACCTTCATTTTCTTTATTTTATTTATTTATTTTTTGAGATGGAGTTTTACTCTTTCACCCAGGCTGGAGTGAATGTCGTGATCTCGGCTCACTGCAACCTCTGCTTCCCGGGTTCAAGCAATTCTCCTGCCTCAGCTTCCTGAGTAGCTGGGATTATGGACATGCGCCACCACACCGGGCTGATTTTTGTATTTTTAGTAGAGACGGGGTTTCGTCATGTTGGCCAGGCTGGTCTCAAACTTCTGACCTCAGATGATCCACCTGCCTCAGCCTCCCAAAGTGCTGGGATTACAGGCATGAGCCACCGTGCCCAGCTAAGATGCTTTTTCTTTTGTGCAAGTGCATCTTTTCCTGTTCTAAATTCATTGGTGATGGTTGGGATGGTTGGAAGAGGTTCTTAGAAATAATACCTGGTCAATATTTTATTTACTTGAACCTTTTAACTTTTTCTCATTTAAATTCAGACTTGGAAGGTATTTTAGACTCTAAACACTCTCATTTAAAGGTGAGTAAAAAGAGGCTCAGAGTAGTTAAAGAGACTTGCTTAATGTCAGAGGTAGAACTGGGGAAATAAGATGTCCAAACTCCCATTCTAGTGCTTATACTGTACCACATTGCTGCTTTTTTTTCTACTTAAAAAAAGTTAAGGCTGGGTATAGTGGCTCATGCCTGTAATCTCAGCACTTTGGAGGGCCAAGGCAGGATGATTGCTTGAAGCCAGATTTGAGACCAGCCTGGGCAACAAAGCGAAACCTTGTCTACAAAATGTTAAAAAAAAAAAAATTAGCTAGGTGCAGTAGCATGGGCGTGTAGTCCCAGCTACTTGGGAGTCTGAGGCAAGAGAATCACTTGAGCCCAGGAGTTTGAGGCTGCAATGAGCTATGATGGTGCCATTGTACTCCAGTGTGGGCCACAGAGCAAGACTCTGTCTCTGGGGAAAAAAAAGAAAGACAGCTCTCAAAACCAAATGCTTTATATACTAAGTGTTTCTTGGCTGTCGCATGTTGGATTCCTTTGTTTATATCCTAGCAGCATATTTGCAGGGGTGTGTGTATTTATTTTAAAGTTACAACACATTACTAACCGAATTCAACATATGACTGTCAGGTATTTTATTTCTCCATTTTTATCTGATTAGTTCTCTGTGTTTCCCTAGAAAGTTAAATGAGACCTAATAAAATTGTTTTTTTTCTTGTAGATGGTTTTAGATTGTTTGGTTCTAATATCTTTCCAGGAATCTGTGTTTAACTGAACAATGTCTGTCAAGATCAATTCACCCACTCCCATCTCACTTTAAAACATATATGGAGTAGGGGCTGGGCGCAGTGGCTCATGCCTGTAACCCCAACACTTTGGGAGGCTGAGGTGGGTGGATCACGAGGTCAGGAGATCGAGACCACCCTGGCTAACATGGTGAAACCCCATCTCTACTAAAAATACAAAAAATTAGCCGGGCGTGGTGGTGAGCGCCTGTAGTCCCAGCTACTTGAGAGGCTGAGGCAGGAGAATGACGTGAACCCAGGAGGCAGAGCTTGCAGTGAGCGGAGATCATGCCACTGCACTCCAGCCTGGGTGACAGAGCGAGACTCCATCTCAAACAAAACAAAACAAAAAAACAACATGTGGAGTATACAGATGTTTTCTGTTTTAGAAATTTTTTTTTCGTGACAGAGTCTCACTCTGTTGTCCAGACTGCAGTGCAGTGATATGATCACGGTTCACTGCAGCCTCGACCTTCTAGATTCAAGCAGTCCTCCCATCTCAGACTCCCAAGTAGATGGGACTACAGGTGCGTGCCACTGCACCCAGCCTCCTTTCTTTATCTCAGAAATTAATGATTAGGTTATCTTGATGTCTGCCAGGACTTGAGGTGTCTCAAAATGCATGCCTCAGACTTGGGAAACTTATATAGCAATTTAAAAAATAATCTCTGGCTTTCTATTGTTACTTTTCATTTTTTTTTTTTCTGCTAAGCTGGAATTTGCTGAGGTCAAATGTGGCCTCCTTAATTCCTTTTCTCCCTTTTATTATAGTTATTTCTGTGATGTCCCCCATCCCTACTAGATCTTTACACGCAGCTCTTTTGGTAAGTTTCAATGCATATTCAGAGGCAGGTATGCTAGAAATGTCATCATAATTAGGTACAAAGGGACTTTAGATTCTTTAAAAATTAAGTCACTTGGAAGTAAAAATAGAATCAGTATTGAATTCTCCCTTTGAATTTGGTGCACGTGTAATGTGTTAGTGGTGAGACTATTTTAAATTTCGAAGAGTTAGTGGATGGGAGTGAGAAAGAAAACAAGAAAAGAAACCACAAGAGTGGAAAGCAGAGATTTTTATTTTTGTGATTCATTACCTATCATCACTGCTTCCTTTCTTCTCCACAGAATGATAGTGTACAAAGTGATGAGATATATTCTAATTCTTGAAGCCTTAATTAACAGAAGTTGAGATGGGATATATTCAAAGCCAGCCTCTGTGACTTTTTTTTTTTTTTTTTTTTTTGAGACGATCTTGGCTCACTGCAAACTCCGCCTCCCAGGTTCAAGCGATTCTCCTGCCTCACCCTCCTGAGTAGCTGGGATTACAGGCGCCCGCCACCATGCCTGGCTAAGTTTTGTATTTTTAGTAGAGATGGGGTTTCAGCACGTTGGCCAGGCTGGTCTCGAACTCTTGCCCTCAGGTGATCTCTGTGACATCATTTCTATTACCAGATGGGAGAACACCATAGAGGCCTGAGATCAAGTGGAAAGATTGGACGAGTGTAGAATGGTATTACTGCTAGTCAATTCCAAGAATATCTTGTTCTAGGCCAGTCACGGTAGCTCATGCCTGTAATCCCAGCACTTTGGGAGGCCAAAGTGGGCAGATCCCTTGAGTCCAGGAGTGCGAGAGCAGCCTGGGCAACATAGTGAGACCTTGTCTTTGGTAGAAATAAAAAACATAAGCAGGTATGGTGGCACATGCCTGTAGTCTCAGCTACCCTGGAGGCTGAGGTGGGAGGATTGCTTGAGCCCAGGAATTTGAGGTTGTTGTGAGCTATGATTGCACGGCTGCACTCCGGCCTGGGTGACAGAGTCAGACCCTGTCTCAAAAAAAAAAAAGAATATCTGTTCTATTCTGCTACTCTCCCTGCTTTTTTGGGGCGAGCGGATGATACAAATATATACATTTTAATTTTATATGTATGTTTTTATTTCTGGCTCACATTCTCTCATGAACAAATACATTCTTAAATGTAACACCTCATGCAAAGTGTCCATCAGTAGCTTTAAATAAATCAGTCTATGAGGCCGTTAAAAAAAAAAATCTTTGAAATTTTCCTGTGATTGAAAGCTTTTTTGGAGATATAACTCACATACCATAAAATTCATTGTTTTTTCCTTTTGTTTTCTTTTTTTTTTTGAGACGGAGTTTTACTCTTATTGCCCAGGCTGGAGTGCAGTGGTGTGATCTCGGCTCACTGCAACCTCTGCCTCCCGGTTTCAAGCGATGCTCCTGCCTCAGCCTCCTAAGTAGCTGGGATTACAGGCGCCCACCACCAAGCCCAGCTAATTTTTGTATTTTTAGTAGAGATGGGGGTTTCACCATGTTGCCCAGGCTGGTCTTGAATTCCTGACCTCAGATGATCTGCCTGCTTTGGCCTTCCAAAGTGCTGGGATTACAGTTGTGAGCCACCGTGCCCTCATAACATTCATTATTTTTTTATTTTTTACTTTTTTATTTTTGAGATGGAGTTTCACTCTGGTAGCCCAGGGTGCAGTGCGATGGCGTGATCTCGGCTCACTGCAACCTCCACCTCCCATGTTCAAGTGATTCTCCTGCGTCAGCCTCCTGAGTGACTGGGATTACAGGCGCCTACCATGACACTCGGCTAATTTTTTTTTTTTTTTTTTGAGATGGAGTTTCACTCTTGTCGCCCAGCCTGGATTACAGGCGTGAGTCACCACGCCCGGCCTAATTTTGTATTTTTTTAATTAGAGATGGAGTTTCATCACCTTGGCCAGGCTGGTCTTGAACTCCTGATCTCAGGTGATCTACCTGCCTTGGCCTCCCAAAGTGCTGGAATTACAGGCGTGAGCTACCGCTCCTGGCAAAATTCACTGTTTTAAAAATTCAGCATTTTTGTTTTTGGCGACAGAGTCTTACTCTGTCACCCAGGCTGGAGTCTAGTGGTGTGATCTCAGCTCACTGCAACCTCCACCTTCTAGGCTCAAGTGATCCTCCCACCTCAGCCTACCAAGTAGCTGGGACTATAGGCATGTGCTACCACATCTGGCTAATTTTTGTATTTTTTGTAGAGATTGGGGTCTCACTATATTGCCTAGGCTAATCTCAAACTCCTAGGCTCAAGCAGTCCTCCGGCCTCAGCCGCCCAGGAGGTGCCACCATGCCCAGCTAATTTTTTTTTTTTTTTTTTTAAATAGAGACGGGGTCCTGCTATGTTGTCCAGGCTGGTCTCAAACTCCTGGGCTCAAGCAATCCATCCACCTCAGCCTCCCAAAGTGCTTAGATTAAAGGCATGTGTCACCATGTTCGGCTCCAAATTCAGCATTTCTTTAAAGCATAGTCAGAGTTGTGTAATCATCACCACTATCTACTTCTTGAACATTTTCATCACCCCAAGAAGAAACCCTGGACTCATTTATATTTTTTAAATAGAAATATTTGAGCCAAATAATTTGCCTTATAGTTTTTTTTTTTTTTTTTTTTTAGAGAGGGTCTCACTTTGTCATCCAGGCTGGAGTGCAGTGACACGATCACAGCTCACTGCAGCCTCGACCTCCCTGGGCTCGGGTGTTTCCCCCACATCAGCCTCCCAAGTTGCCGGGACTAAAGGCTTACCCCACCACCCCTGGCTAATTTTTGTATTTTTAGTAGATATGGGGTTTTGTCATGTTGCCCAGGCTAGTCTTGACCTCCTGGGCTCAAGTGATCTGCCTGCCTCAGCCTCCCAAAGTGTTAGGATTATAGGCATGAGCCACTGTGCCTGACCATTGCCTTATAGTTTACATCAGTAGTTAAAGGTACATTTTTGTTTTGAACAATTTATTAATAATGATAAGAGATACTGAATTTTACACACTGTTGGTTTTTATTGCCTTCAATATAATGTGAGTTTTTTTTTTTTTGAGATGAAGTTTTGGTCTTGTTGCCCAGGCTGGAGTGCAATGTCACGATCTCGGCTCACCACAACCTCCGCCTCCTGGGTTCAAGCGATTCTCCTGCCTTAGCCTCCCGAGTAGCTGGGCTTACAGGCATGCTCCATCACGCCTGGCTAATTTTTGTATTTTTAGTAGAGATGGGGTTTCTCCATATTGGTCAGGCTGGTCTCGAACTCCCAACCTCAGGTGATCCACCCACCATGACCTCCCAAAGTGCTGGGATTACAGGCGTGAGCCATCATGCCCAGCCTAATGTGAGATTTTTAGATCTGAGAGTGAATAATAGTAAAAGAACAATCGAGACATTAAAATGTAGTTTAATTTAGCTTGTCTCCTTTCCAGGAAATGCTGTAAACACACGGATATTGAAGTGCATGATCCCAGCAACAGTAATATCACAAGATTCTGTGGTTAAGGCAGTCTCCTGGCTTTGTGTTGACAAGTGTTCTGGTAGCACCAAGGTAATCTTTTTAAACTCTTTGATTGTAAGTCCTTCAGAACCACTTAAGGACTGACAAGGAAGAGCCACTTATCAAGTAATGGCATTGGCCTTTTGTGCAAAGCCTGTAGTTTTGGAACAATATATCTTGATGCAAGGGCTATGTTCAAACAAATTTTTACTGAGAAATAAAATCTATTATTCTACTTTGTGCCTGAAGCCTCTAAAATAGCCCTGGCGACGGGGGACGGGGGGTGGAATTAAACTCTTCTGTACCAGTTGTATTTCTTTAAAGATAAGTATTTTGTCTCTTCAATAGGTACTTTTTTATCGTTGGCTGGTTGCAATGTTTGACTTCATTGATCGTAAGGAGCAAATTAACTTGCTCTACGGCTTCTTTTTTGCTTCATTGCAAGATGATGCACTGGTAAGTAAAAATTGGACAGCATTAGGCATCAATCAAATAGTACATGAGTGTATATTGATGCACCATATATCCTTCAGCATGCTATACAATGTGTTTTTCCTTATTTTAAAAATATATCAAACATACAGAAATGTACCAAGATAATGTAGACATATCAAATATACAGAAAAGGGCAAATAATAACATTCTATTTTGCTCCTGTCTCTCAGATTAACAAATAGAAAGTTTTTATCGTATTTACTTTATATCTTATTTTAAGGAAATAAAAATGTTACAGATAAAGTTGATTTCACATTGGAGTCTTGTTTGCTGATCTAGAGCACTTATTGCCATCTTTTCCCTTTTAAACCACTTCAACAGGGTCCTTTGAGTCATTTACTCTACATTTTCTTGATTAACACTGCAAAAGCCTCATCAAAATTAATGAGAAGGAGAGGATTACTTTTCATGAGTGCCAATGGAGTGATTTTTATTAAATAGCATAATTATTTCCCTTAAAAACATTAATAACTTTAAGAAATCAATCTACTGTCCACCTGGAAGACTTTCAAGGACCATCAGTAGTTCACAGACCGTGTGAATCACTCGTCTAACTGTATTTCTCTTGCCTTTGGGAAGGGAATTCATTTATTGATTTTATTTTTTAAAATGATGTTTCCAGTGTGTTCATTGCATTGTTCTAGGCACTGTAGAAGATTCAAAGTTTAGCATAGGGTTTCTATACTCCAGGAACTTGAAATCTAGTTGGGGAATTAAGGAAATAACATAAATTATCAAAAACAGCATATGATAGTTTGAAGATAATAATTGCTATAATATTTCCAGGAAGGAAGAAAGCACTGTAACTCAAAATGATTAGTTAAGAGCACCATAAAGTATGTGGGTGTTAAGCTGGGCCTCACAGGTTGAATAGGATTTGGGATTTGGTGACAGAAAATGATATTTGATATGATGGGAATATTTCAAGCAAAGTCGTGAGGTGTGTAAATTGTGTTTTAGGAGACCTTAAATAGACCAGCCTGACTTAATTGGCGATGGTGTTAGGTGGTAAGGCTGAAAAAGTTGGGTGAGGACAGATTGTAGAGGTCTTCCAATGTGATGCTAAGGAATTTGAACTTTATTCAGTGGGTAAATCACTGAATATTTTTGGCTGGAATATGTTGAAAGCAGCTCTGTAGGAAGCTGTATCTAGTAGTGCCCAACAATGTGAATTAAGAGAGAGGCTGAAGGCAGGAATACTAGTTAGGAAGCTGACATGATAATCTAGGTATAACATGATGTCGTAGACAAGAAATTCTCAAATATGGTCTGTGGACCCCCTGGGGCTTCTTAAGACCCTTTTGGGAAGTCCAAGAGGTCAAAATTATTTTCATAATAAAACCAAGGTATTATTTGCCATTTTCACTTTGTTGACCTTAGCACTGATGGTGCTAAAGCTATTGTGGGTAAAACTACTGGCCATTTAACATGAATCAAGGCAGTGGCACCAAACTGTACTAGCATGTTCTTCATTATGTTCTTCATTGTGGTAAAAAAACAAAAATGCTAATTTCACTTAAGAATGTCAAGTGAAGCATAAAAATTAATAGTTTTATTAAATCTCTACGTCTTTAATATTCTGTGTAATGAAATGGCAAGTACAAACAAAGTCCTCCTGCATACTAAAGTACGATGGTTATTCTGAGGAAAAGCATCTGTGTGATTGAGTTGTGAGCCAAACTAGCTCCATTTTTATTTGAAAGAATGACTGACGGCCGGGCGCAGTGGTTCACACCTGTAATCCCAGCACTTTGAGAGGCTGAGGCAGACGGATCACAAGGTCAAGAGATTGAGACCATCCTGGCCAACATGGTGAAACCCCGTCTCTACTAAAAATAGGAAAATTAGCTGGGCATGTTGGTGCACACCTGTAGTCCCAGCTACTTGGGAGGCTGAGGCAGGAGAATTGCTTGAACCCAGGAGGCAGAGGTTTCAGTGAGACGAGATCACGCCACTGCACTCCAGCCTGGCGACAGAGTGAGACTCTGTCTCAAAAACAAAGAATAACTGACATACGAACCATAGTTATACAGACTTGGGTACTTGGAAGATGTTTTCTTGAAAATGAACAAAACAAGCCTGTTATTCAAAGAAAACAACTGGCCGTATCTGTTGCCAGTGATAACATTTGAGCATTCAAGTGAAAAATTAAAGTTTAGAAAATTTGTATCTGCCACTATGAACCTGACAGCTTTCAGATACCTGAAAGACTTTTGTAATAATTGGTGATGGTATTAATGTTGTGATTTTTAGTTACCATATAATGAAATGTGTCAGCATTTGAAAGCTCAGTGTAACTCAGTGAGCCAATATTTTCCTGATGAACAAGTATGATGTTCTAAATTCATAAATGGGTAAAAGAACCCTTTAAAATACAAGATACATCAACGAATTTTAATGGAACAGAGTACAGAGCTTTTATTGAGAGTGTTTCAGATTCCACATTACAGCTACCCCTTAAGAAACTACCACTTGTCATGTTTTGGTGTAGTAGCAAAGACTAATATCCCTAATTTTCTGAAAAGCCTTTTAAACTGTTCCTACCTTTTCCAACTATATATCTGTGTGAGGCTGGATTTTCTTCATGCAATTCAATCAAAACATAATAGAATTAATATAGAAGCACAGATTCCAACTGTGTTCTCTTAAGCTAGAGACATTAAAAAGATTTGTAGAAATGGGCTGGGCGTGGTGGCTCATGCCTGTAATTCCAGCACTTTGAGGAGGCCGAGGCAGGCAGATCACTTGAGCTCAGGAGTTCGAGACCAACTTGGACAACATGGTGAAACTCCATCTCTACAAAATATACAAAAATTAGCTAGGTGTGGTGGTATGTGCCTATCGTCCCAGCTACTTAGGAGGCTGAGGCAGGAGGATCGCTTGAGTCCAGGAGGCAGAGGTTGCAGTGAGTTGAGATCATGCCATTGCATTCCAGCCTAGTGAGACCTCATCTTTACTGGGGGGGAAAAAAAAAAAAGCTGGGTGTGGTGGCATGCACTTGTAGTCCCAACTACTTGGGAGGCTGGGGGCGGGGGGCGGAAATCATTTGATCGTTTGAGCCTGGGAGTTGGAGGCAGCAGTGAGCTGTGATGGTGCCATTGTATTCCAGCATGGGTGACAGAGCAAGAACCTGTCTCAAAAAAATATATTCTCAGTATTATTTCTAACCTGGTGAGTGTTGACAGACATTACCCAGAAAAACAAAAAGCATTTTTGGGGTCCTCTAATATTTTTTTTTTTTTTTTAAATAGAATTTTGTTCTTGTGGCCCAGGCTAGAGTGCAATGGCATGATCTCAGCTCACAGCGACCTCCACCTTCTGGGTTCAAGAGATTCTCCTGCCTCAGCCTCCCAAGTAGCTGGGATTACAGGCGCCTGTCAGCACGCCTGGCTAATTTGTTTGTATTTTTAGTAAAGATGGGGTTTCACCATGTTGGCCAGGCTGGTCTTTAACTCCTGACCTCAGGTGATCCACTGGCCTCGGGCTCTCAAAGTGCTAGGATTACAAGTGTGAGCTACCACACCAGCCAAGGGGTCTTCTAATTTTTTTTTTTTTTTTTTTGAGATGGAGTCTCACTCTGTTGCCATGCCCGGTTGATAATTAGTTTATTTACCTCGGTGTAGTGATTATAGTAGAAATAAATTCAGATATCTTATTTTGAGATATTCTAAATGAGCTTTTTTTTTTTTTGACCCTAGTTTTTTTCCTATTCTTGTTTGGAAGTCACCTAAGTGTTTTTGTACCTACTTAACATGCGTACTTTAAGTCTAAAGGTAACTGGCATCTGTACCTTTATCTTATAGGATACAAAAACCTTAGGATGCTTTAACTCTCTTTTTCTTGTTCTTTTTTTTCTCTTCGTGTCATATGGTGCAGAAGAATGCTTTTTCTTTTTTTTTTTTTTTTTTTTTGAGACGGAGTCTCGCTCTGTCGCCCAGGCTGGAGTGCAGTGGCCGGAGCTCAGCTCACTGCAAGCTCCGCCTCCCAGGTTTACGCCATTCTCCTGCCTCAACCTCCGGAGTAGCTGGGACTACAGGCGCCCGCCACTTCGCCCGGCTAGTTTTTTGTGTTTTTTTTTTTTTAGTAGAGATGGGGTTTCACTGTGTTAGCCAGGATGGTCTCGATCTTCTGACCTCGTGATCTGCCCGTCTCGGCCTCCCAAAGTGCTGGGATTACAGGCTTGAGCCACCGCGCCCGGCCGAAGAATGCTTTCTCTTGTTCTTTTTTTCTCTTCGTGTCTGTCACACTGCTCCTGGCTTATATTCTGTTGTTGTCTGGTTTTAGTTTTACCTTGTTTTTCTCCATTCCTTTACACACACACACACACACACACACACACACAGAGTAGGTGTTTTTTTTTTTCCTTTTGAGACAGAGTTTCACGCTTGTTGCCCAGGCTGGAGTGCAATGGTGTGATTTTTTGTATTTTTAGTAGAGACAGGGTTTCTCCATGTTGGTCAGGCTGGTCTCAAACTCAGGTGATCCACCTGCCTCGGCCTCCCAAAGTGTTGGGATTACAGGCGTGAGCCACTGCGCCTGACCAGTATTATTTTTACAGTTGATAATTGTTTAGATTTGCCCACATATCTCCCAGTATTTTTGCTCATCATTTGTTTTTGCATCTCACACCTTCAAGATGAGATTATTTTCCTTTGGCTAAAAGTGTATTTGTTATTCTTTCATTGAAAATCTTTTGATGGCAAACTCTTTGTCTGAAAATGTCTCTACTTTGCCCTTGTTCTTGAAAACTGGTATTGGTGTATGTAGAATTCTAGAATGACAGTTAAATTTTTTCAGGATACTGACAATATTATTCCACTGGCTCCTTGCTTCCATCATGTTATTGAATCAGTCTAATTGTAATCCTTTTTTTCTTTTCTCTCTAGCTACTTTTAAAAAGCAGCTTTAGGCCAGGCTTGGTGGCTAACACCTGTAATCCCAGCACTTTGGGAGGCTGAGGG